CACACACACACACACCTCTTGAGTGTTGGTGATTCGGTTCTGGACCAGGTGAAAGTCCCGTCGGTCACAGAGATGCTGTGCTGGGCTGAACAGAGAGGAGAACAATGACTAGTTTGACCTGCTGTGTGTATGAAAGCGCACACGGCTGTGTCTCTGGATTAGAGCATATGGTACTACAGGAAAGGGGACTCACAGCCTTCTGCTGCTTTGTGCTCCACGCTGTCCAACTGCAGCTCCTCGTGTGACAGAAACACCCGGAGTCGCTTCAGGGACACGCTGGCCTGAGGACGGACAGGGTGGGAAGCTGTCAGAGTGCAAAGGTGCTGCAGACTGCTGCTTAGTACAACTAACACAGAGGGAAAAAGGCCCCAAACCACAATTTATATTCATGTGAATATAATATTCATGATTGGATTTTGTGGGAGAGTGAGGAGAGGGAAAGTCCACAGCTCCCTAAATATAAAAGCCAGCTTCCAGTGTAACAGCCCATAACACTTTAGGTATAATGTGTCATGTGTAGACTGGCAGCCAGTGCAAAGTCTATCTCATCATTTGGATCAAATCATGGAGTCGTATTTAAATCATGTGCAGGAACAGCGAGATGTGATGCTAACACGTCATCATATCATGGACACTGTGCTCTGCCCCTGGGCTTTGGTTTGTGCACATGGTGCTGGGCGGAGCAGCCTCCTCACACTGGGCAGGCTCACAGACAGGTGTTACAGGGGAGGGGTTTGTACTGTACAATATAAAGCGCCTTGAGGCGACTGCAGTTGAGATTTGGAGCCATATAAATAAAATTGAATGGACCTGTGAGCTGGATGTTGATGTGCAGAGTCTACATTAATGACCTCAGCATTCACCTCAGTTCTCCTCAACACGTCCCCCACGAGCTGATAGGCCCTGGATGAACTGTACATCATTGTCATTGGCTTAGAGAACTCTAAACCCAGAGGTATGAAAATGCTACCAGCGTGTCACAAACCCTCCCCACACTGCCTTTGGGGAGGAAGACCACGCTTCCACACTGCTGCTGCCTGACTCAAGACTCAAACAGAAAGAAAAAAAAAGCCGTTTTCAGGTTCAGGAACAGGAAACTGAAGCTGAGGAGGTCTTACAGGACAGGTCTTAGACATCTACTGGAAACCCTGGGTAAATGGTGGCAGGTGTGCTAACCTCTGCCTAAACTCCGACAACTCTGAAGCTTAAAAAGCAGCCAGGTATGACCTCTGGTTCCATGGGAAAGCCCAGGAGGAACTACGAGGATAAAGTGGAGTCCAGCTTCTATGACCCCAAGCAGCTCTTCTGCATCCCTGACTATGAAAGGATGTTCAGATGAGCTATGCTAAGGAAGACGTTTCATGCCTGGAGAGGGCAGTCAGGCTGCTGATGGGACATTATCCTTTGAAAAAGGTCAACCCACACAAAGCTCCCGGACCAGTCGGCATTCCAGGTGGTGTTCTCAGAGCATGTGCTCCACCATCTACAACCCCTGAAGCAGCCACAGGAAATCAACAGTTTCATGTTGCACCAACGCCTGACCCCTCCTCTCATTGGCCTATAGAAGGAAGAGAGCCACACACGCTGCCCTCACCCACCTGGAACAGGGGAGCACATATTTGTCGTGTCCAAATTCATGGGCTGCATTCTCCTGAGGCCGCATTTGTAGAC